GATTCTCCGAAGGGTAAAAGAAAGCCGAGTGACATATTGTCGTATGAGTGAGTTTCAAGTAACGTCGTGGCACATCGCCCCTTCACGAATACTTCATAATCTCGTATACTTCGCACGAGTTAACGCCGGCGATCGCGATTCTCCATCGTGCAAAGTGTTAATAACGCAATTTTACATTTGTAAGATTTGCAAACGTTTTGCGTGCGCGACGTTTTAATTTTAATCGCGTACTTTCGATTGGTCAACCGCGAGTCTCTATACGAGCTGTCCACTTGACTCGCGTAGTGTCGCGCGAAGTTGCCGACGTATTCAAACCTTTCGTTGCTATCAAAGTATTATAATGCGACGGACACGGGTCGAGTCGGGACAAGTTGCGCGACGTTTCCAAATTTACACGAAAAGTTTACGTTAGAAACTGTTAGAATGTTTTTGAGAATAATATCGGGATTGGCACGCAGTCTCGATGTTGATTTTTTTGCCGGTGAGCGCGGCGCGCTTTGTTCTCGAGGACACCGGGCGGAACAAAGCCCAGCGGTCGTCGCAGACAGTTCAGAACCGTTCCACGTGTCACAGCGTTAGGATGTGTCGATTGCTCTTCGCGTACAATACGCGTCCTGGCTGAGGTAATATTTTCCCCAATAAGAATAATTTACCATACGGGGAAGGGGAGTATTGAATGCGTATTAAACAACATGTAGAAAACGGCTAATGCGGGATAGCTAAATGTAGCATCTGAAAATGCTAAACGTGGCATTTAAAATATAATTGCAAATCGTTTATCGTTTTGAACATGTGAATTTGCTGACGATAATAATTCCACCCGTAAGAAAACTGCGTTATGTCCGAAAAGGAACCAGCGCGCAGGACAAAGGTGGCAAGAAACGGTATATGAATTCACATTGTAATAAATTACAAGTATAGGCTGCCTACATCTTGCCTTAGACCCGCACTAGCCGTTTTCTATATGTTGTTTAATACGCATTTACCTACGGTACGATTAAATGCAAGTGTTACGTTCAGTGATTCACGTGAGCATTAAAGTGTCGAAGACTTGATCAAGCAAGTGCGTACTTCGCGATCAAAATATCGATTTGCCCGTGGAAATCGATGCAATATGTGACTGTAATCGCATCGTGTACTTTCGATCTGTGATCTCAATTGATTCGTTCGTCGATCGTGTATTAAAAATATTGTACAATAGAGTGTCGCGGTGTCAGTTGACATCAAAAGTGTCACATAAAGTGTTGTGTGATATAATGAACTGTACTTTCGTGAATAAATGTTGCGTGTGTCGCGATGGAATTGCGCAAGTCATGTGATTTAAGTAACGGAATGCAGTAATGCGTGAACCATTTTAATTGCATTTGTAATTTGTATCTCGTGATATTTATTCGCTCGAATTTTACAATTGTATCTCGAGCGTATTTTTAAATGATTCTCTTGGTTCAATTAATTACTGAATTAACTAATTTGTGCCTGCGCGCAGTTATAAATATTGTTGGCGTTCGAATCTCTCGGTGAGCGATTAATTATTGCCAAAATTACGTGCCAAAAATAAGTGATATTTTTAATTTTTTTTTCGATTTTGATATAAAGTGGACAGTTTTCTGTCCTTAGTTTTGTGCGTACTTTTTGCAATATTTTCTGTAAAACCAATTCAAAGATCGCTTCAAGAAGAGCAATTTCGGCAATTATTGTCGCTTTAAGATCCCTTTAAAGCTCGCCTACGCTTGATGGATTTCTCACGAATATCCAAACTACTTTCGTTGGGCTTGTCAACTCGAAAACAGATTGAGAGCATTGTAGAAATTAGTCGACTGTAACGACGTCATTATCGATTTCGTGTTTGTGTACAAATTCTCTTCGGGGATTCTAAAGCTACGAGTTTCGGAAACTTGAAAACGTTGACTGCGTCAACGACGAATTCTACGTGTAGTGCAAGAACGGCGTCTAGCGTGTCTCGCGATTAGATATAGTGAACAATGACATTCGTGCGAATAGTTAATTACAAAATTGCTCACATGATCGGTATCAAGATAGAAGTTGCTGCTCACCGGTCACTCACTGAGAATTTGAACAACAGGCCGTCGATAAACGAGATCTCGTATTTGTCGGCGCGAAGCTGGAATAACCAATCAAGATGCGCGATTCAAATTCGAACATTCGCGGAGATTTAATTTCGATAAAAATTCCCAAATTTCTGTTGACTAAATTAAAGGGAAATCGTTCTGTAAAATTTGGAGGAATATTTTTATATCGTATAATACTTACACCATATTAAACGGGGAATAACTAATAATTTAAAATGTAGCAACAACGTACTCAATATTTTAATAATTAAGCAACTTCCGCTGGTTTTTACGAGTAATTAACTATTCGCACGAACGTCATCGTTCAATATATCTAATCGCGACATGCTAAACGCCGTTCTTACACTACATATTGTAGTCGTCGTTGACGTTTTCAAGTTTTCGAAACCCGTTTCGCTTTAGAATCTCCGAAGAGAATTTGTATAACACAATATCGCATAATTTAATTTATCGTACAAAATGTAATTTTTAAGTGTTACATGGCTTGAAATTTAAAGAAGTAGAATTTGCGAAAACTCGCTGCGCTTGTGAAACGTAAAATTTGATTATCGTTTAAAATGTCATCGATTATTGAGGTTTATCAACCGCGGAAATTCTCGAAATTTCAGGGAAATGACGTATCGCCGTAAACAATTCGGTCGAAGTCTATTTTCATTGTACCAAATCATTCACGCGGCGACAGTCGAACGGGTCGGTTAGCGGCTCGCGCCGCTCCGCATATCTTATTGTTCTTACTTGATACGCGTTCGCGATAAGTGCGGGAAGAAACGGCGATCGCTCTCTGTGAATAATCAGCGATCGATATCATCGTGTGATGGCTGAATCCTCGCGATTCGCTATCGATGCTCGGTTAACCGGCAAGACAGGTATTTTGCGTAAAATCTGTACACGTCCAAAAATCTAAGCGCTAGCTAACTTGAAATTACTTCATCATTGCGACTTATGAGCCTTTTAACTGCCAAAAATTGTTCAGTAAAGAATGCTGCTCTGTAGTTGCAAAGATTTAGTTTCCTTTTCATTCTCACAGCCAAGATTGGATCCTTGCGAAAGGATCACGGAATTTCGTACAATTATTATTTTGGAGTTTCTATGTTCTTTGTCGTTTTCCAATGTCTTTACGTTCGATTAATTTCTACAACGAAAACAATATCGATCTGTCTTCGAGTTGACAAATTCCTGGTTCTGATTATAAAATTTGCTTAAGAGCACATAAATTCAATAACAAAAACTCGTTACGTATATGCATATTATTTTTCGTGTAAAAGTCATTTGCGATAAACGGGAGATTTATTGAATTTATTAATTATTATAATATTATTTTAAATAATAATAATATAATATATAATATTTATTTAACTTTCTCACTATGCTACCGAAATGGAATTTTCAAGTTTAATATTTTACACACATTAAGATATTAGAACTTAATTAACGTTCAAATGTTCTAGAAAGACAAATAAGTTTCGACGTTACGTTTATCACATGCGGATCCAACTTTGTTGTAATTTTATTCCACGTGTAATGAATTCCGTTCTAAATCGCACACTAAGATTAGAATTGATCTAGATCGATCTCTTACTAAACTAATAAGTCGAGGCAAAATTATGAAAGATGATTAAGCACGCGATCGGCATTGTAGATTACAAGGATTGCACTCTCATTTCTTCGTTTTTTATTTGACTTTTTATCGCATGAAAGAGATGCGCGTACAGGTGCACGAGCCTAGACTGCGCTACGATGCACAATGCTATCGACCGTCGAACTCCCCGGCGTCTTATCCGATGGTCGTTAACCCGAGCGTTTGCCGTTTCCTTCCTTCCACCTTCCTTCCGTGGACGCGACTCCTTTCCGCAATCGCGAGGATCGTTCATCGATAGTCCCTCAGGACAGATATTCCTCCTTCGAGGAACGGAACCGAAAACGCTAAATCACGTAAAAATGTCTGCGGTCACTTTGCGAGAGGCCGGTATTTGCAAGAATTTTATGCATATAGGATTTTAATTATAATTACTTTCTAGATTAGTTCATTTAATAATTTGTTTCTGGAGCGTCAAGTTCTTTTCAGGCTTAATTAGATGAGATTTGGCTCCAGCTTGTACTTGGTAATTTTCTTTGAGTAACACGAGTGATAAGCTAGTTTAATCGTTGAATCATGGTGTTGCTTAATTATTTTATCATAGTCCGACAGTAGCTTTGTAAAGACAAATCGAAATAATTAGCGAAAGCGCTAATTATAATTCGACGAAATTCGAGGCACGTGCGAGAAATCGCGATAGCAGTAATCGCTCGTGTAACGCATCGCAGGGAACGACGGTTCCATTTAAAATGAGGTGAAGATTTGCAATGGATATTAAGGCGCGCTAAACGATGCCAAAATTTCACGGTACAAAACTTCCGATAAATAACTCGTTTAAACCTTAAGATATGCGGAACAACGTAAAGCGCATTGCAAAAGTGCCAATATAATACGTTGCGATTCTCTTTGTAGACTTTTACTATTTTTCTTTTTCACCGTTTTGCGTCTCCGCAATCTTATCTAGCGACATTCTGATGGGTTCCTTCACCAACGGTGACGGCGACGTCGACGGCGAGAGGGAAATCGGGAGAGTACGAGGAAGTGAGGAGAGGAACGCGAGATTTTCGGGTCGGCTTCCTGCGGGCCTCCGCTCCGCTCGATGCCGAGCGGAGCGGAGTAGTCACGCTCGGCGAGCCCGAGGCTCAGGCTCGAGTGTTGCACACCGGCGGTGCTCAGTCTCCGGGTTAACGCGCGGATTTAAATACTCGGTGCTATCACCAGCTATGATCCAGAAGGAGAGAGAAAATTTAACGCGTGACCGATGATCGATCGCGAATGGCACGAATGCGAATCCGCGATTGATTTCAAGCTAACGACTGTCTCCGTCCGTCTCTATAACTTCCATTGTATCACCCGAATTTATGTTACACAGTTCTGAGGGTATCAGGCGGGTCGGTGTCGCGCGAGCGATATAGTTAGTTACGGTAAATGTAGAAGAAAGGAATTGCAGCGCGCGGAGTTGATTGGCGTTGGTGCGGGAGAAATTTTTAGTGTGACAGTGCAAAACTGAGTGCTAGAGTCAAGTGAAACAAAAGTGCTGGTGCGGGAAGGAAGAGAGACAAAATAAACAGAGGCGCATTCGATGCAAAGTGGAATTGTGTAAGAAACGTGAGTGGTCGTGATTTACGAAGGAAACAAGCGGTGTCGTTCGGCAACAGAAGAATTTCCTTCCACGTTGTTCTGGTGTATTATAATTAAGATTTCTTGGACGGACCGAGATGGCAGGGACTGCACTCCTCGGCAACTTCTCTTCGGACGCTGTGACCAGACTCGCGATAGAACGCGGCGATCGCTGCAAGGTTTGTTGCTCCACAACAGTATACGATTTATAGATTGCGAGATGAGTGAAAAGGCTGATAATTAGAAGTTTATTGGTGAAAAAAAATGGAATAATTTAATCGATAAATTTGTGCGACGTCTAATAATTGCATTGCGTAACGTACGAAAGAGATTAGCTGTTGTGCAATTATTGCAGTTATCTCTGATAGCTGCATGACCTGTAATAAATAGCAAAACGCTGATTAGGATCAATAGATATCAACATACTGATCAGTAAAAAATCGACAGATATCAACGGATTCTTTCATCACTATCGTATCGGCTTCGTTATCGGACGGTTCAAAATATGACAATAGAAGCACTCAAAGATACATTTAATTAATTTCCAATTGTAATTTCGACGTTGACATCTCTTTGCGAATAACAATACACGATTGTGTAAATAAATTAATCAGAGATCGCGGATTTGCGCTGGTGAGCGTCGCACTTTTGCAATTTAAAAATTTATCTCCCGGGCGCCGGGAAACAATAAATTCACGACGATTTGTCGGCAATCCGTTTCGAAATTTCGGCCGAAAATCCGTGATTCCGGCGACCAGAGACAATACTTCATTTTCCCGATACCGTCCGATGCAATTTCCTGCGTGCCTCAAACACGAAAAATCGATCGGTGCGTCTGTCGATTAGAACGCAGTGTCCATAACAATCTTGAAATGCTTCCCACGAAATAAAGCGAAGCTAAAATAACTTAGGCGATTTGAATTGATATTCTGCTCGCTTTAACCGTACAATTTTTCATTTCACGCGATACTTAGAAAATTCTAAGGGAACAGCGCGACGTGTAATCTGGTCTACTCCGTAACGATAGAATATTGGCATCGTTATATCATTACTCCGCGCCATTATCATGTCTCGTAATCGCGTCTCTTACACTTCGCTACGCTCGATATGAATATATCGGTGTTAATAAATTCAAACCACGCCGCGGGTATTACGAAAATGCGTGTGCGAGAGAGCGCCTGCAGGACCATCCATTTCAGAGCCCCGCGGCTTTCGCGGATCAATTATCTTTGCGCGCGAAATTGGGTCTACGAATTATCTACGCTCGCGCAAATCGAGAGAAATCGCGAACAAACGAGGTCGCATTTAGAAACTTTATCGATAGCCGACGTCAATAGACAATTGAAACAATCAGCAGCAGTTTTATATTCGAACTGCACGAATCATTTATGGGTTAAATGTGGTATTCATTTCATTCACTTCGGTGACATTTTGTATTGTTAGAAATCATTACGACAGAAAATTTGCCGACTTCCTCATTAGCTGTACGACAACGTTATCTAGTAATTTAAATTTCTCCGACGCTCCTGCGTTCTCTAATTAATATAATTAGTCGTGAATAACATCGCTACGAGATAAATTTTCTAAGGGAGAAATCTAGCGTAGAGAGCAGGTGACGAAATTGCAATTCTCGATGATCAGATATTATTACCGGGCGTTAAGTTCAGTCCTGGACAATAGTGGCTATTCGAGGAATTAAGGACACCAGTGCCGTGGTATCTCTGTATACGCGCGACACGAGGAAACGATTTGATGCTTTGGGAAGGGAAGTCTGCTCTCGTAGGAGGGCACCGTGCCAGGAAGCCGATATTGCTGCGAACGAGACCCCGCGGAGTGTGTTGTGTGCATGTATGTGTGTGGGGTGCGACCGGCTCGTTGCCCGACAGTTAACTTTCGTCGAAAGGTCACGCTACAACTGATCACCGAAAATCTTTCACTAAAAAGCCATAAAGACTGGAGTTTCCTTTTCGGCGAATTTTTAATAATTGACAAAATAATTTTATCACACCCAATACTTCGAATATTGCGATACCGCACTAGAATCTTGGCAGTGTTTTCAACGTTTTGAGAAACTCAAAGTCGATAAAAGGCATAAAGACTGGAGTTTCCTTTTCGACGAATTTTTAATAATTGACAAAATAATTTAATCACATCCGATACTTCGAATATTGCAATACCGCACTAGAATCTTGGCAGTGTTTTCAACGTTTTGAGAAACTCAAAGTCGATAAAAGGCATAAAGACTGGAGTTTCCTTTTCCGACGAATTTTTAATAATTGACAAAATAATTTTATCACACCCAATACTTCGAATATTGCGATACCGCACTAGAATCTTGGCAGTGTTTTCAACGTTTTGAGAAACTCAAAGTCGAT